AAGTGGAGAATTTCAAGTGGAAAGTGCAACATCAAAGCAGAGGAACACGCTAATAATAATCCCTCCATTTCCACAGGTTTTACTTATAAAAGAAGCATATGTAATTTAATTTATTTACTTTCTTTTCATTTGTACTTCAATTAATTTCTGTGGATGATCTTTTGTCATAATTGTTTTTATAGCCTGCATTTTCCTGCCCATAGTTTCAACCAGAACCTCTCAAGACTGTATATTTGTATAATATTGATTTTTCTTTTGGAAATAAAAAAGAAACTGAAAGTGAAACTGCAATATACCAATATAATACAAATTAGTAGTCTGGCTTTCTCAATCATGGAACAAACTCTAAAAAAAAAAAATTGTGAATGCAGAGAATGTTTTAAAAGTGCTGAAATTATTAGAAAAATATGAGATAAAAGATTATTCCCCAGAAGAAAAAGGATGAAATAAAAAGGGTTGTGTAAAAGATGGGAAAATTAAAATCTCACAGTGTTGCACCATTCCCCAAGTAACCTACACATAACCTTTCGTTATCATCATTTCTTATCATAATATTGACATCACTCCTTCTCAATTTGACCCCCAACTTGATCCACTCAAACAAAACTCCTTCTGGTCAGAGAGGGGTGTGGGTCTAAACAAAGAAACAGACTCCAAAATATGTCATTCATTCAATTAAATAGGGGGAGAAGATGGACAATGGTTAAACCGGAAAGAATTTAGAAAAGAATTATATTTTGTGTTTCCGTTGTTGAATTGTGTAACTAGATAGTAATAGACAATGGTTCAGGAAGTGCTGTTCTATAGGCCTACACACTTGCGGTGGACAGTTTATACAAAAATAGGAAGATAGAAAAAAATTATGTTTACATTTACATCTCTGGCTGGTTAACAGATAACTTGTTATTGAGTGCTTTCCAAGATCAAAGGAGTGGTCAAGAGTGACGTCATCAAAAACATTTCCAAATTTGAACTTCGTTTTCCGGAAGAGTATAAAAATTAACGTCCAAATGTTGAAAACCAATTGAATATGTTGAGTATTAGCTGAGATATGACCATCCAAATAAATAGATTTCAATGGGAAATCACTATTAATTTGCTTTGGTTCGTAACATATTCAATTGTTTTTCGACATTTGGCCAATATTTTTGATGCTCTTTCGGAAAACGATGTTCAAATTGAGAAATTCTAAAAATAGATTTTTATCATGTCACAGCTCGGTACTCTGATTTCCTCTCTTTGGCCTTCATCCATTTGAGTACATTCATTTGTTATCCTACATTTCTGAGGAAACTAACATATTATAGTAAAAGTTTCCTTGATTATTCCTTTAAACTTTCTCCACTATCTAAAAGAATATGCCATGTGAGCCCTACTTTCTCCTACCATTGAGTGAATTGATGGTACAAATATTGTGACTAGTAAAATTGGACAAATGAGGCAATGTTTTTACCACATCATTACCACACAGCTATGATAACACAATTGTATTTCTAATATGGTAATAAGATGCATTTTTGTAAATTGGACAAATGAGGCAATATATTTACCACACGATTACCACAGAGCTACGACAATACCATTGTATATGGTTTTTCCAATATGGTAAGATGTAATCTGTGTAAATTGGACAAATGAGGCAATATTTCAACCACATAATTACCACACAGCTATGATAATACCTTTGTATATGGTATTTCTAATATGGTAAGATGTAATCTGTGTAAATTGGACAAATGAGGCAATATTTTTACCACATCATTACCACACAGCTATGAAGTATGATAATACCATTGTATATGTTTTTTCTAATATGGTAATAAGATGAAATTTGTGTAAATTGTACAAATGAGGTAACATTTTTACCTCATACTTACAACACAGCTATGATAATACCTTTGTATATGGTATTTCTATTATAGTAATAAGATCTCATTTTTGTAAATTGGACAAATGAGGCAATATTTTTACCACATCATTACCACACAGCTATGGTAATGCCCTTGTTTTTGGTATTTCTAATACTGCCAGTGTAATAAGATGTAATTTTTGTAAATTGGACAAATAAGGCAATATTTTTACCACAGAATTACCACACAGCTTTGATAATACCATTGTATATGGTTTATTTAATATGGTAATAAGATGTAATTTTTGTTGGACAAATGAGGCAATATTTTTACCACATCATTACCACACAGCTATGATGATACCATTGTATTTGGTATTTCTAATATAGTAATAAGATGAAATTTTTGTAAATTGGACAAATGAGATAATATTTTTACCATAGAATTACCACACAGCTATGATAATGCCATTGTTTTTGGTATTTCTAATACTGCCAGTGTAATAAGATGTAATTTTTGTAAATTGGACAAATAAGGCAATATTTTTACCACACAATGACCATACAGGTATGATATAAAGACCGTCGTATATGGTATTTCTAATTTGGTAATAAGATGTAATTTTTTTACAAAGTCAATTCAATTCAAAGTACATGTACATAGACATTCTTATTACATGATGGATAGAGCTGGCAAAGGCCATCCATCCCTGCCTCATCACCATTCTCTCCCTCTCGCTCGTTGGACCATGCAGTCTACCTTGTGCATTACCATTCCCAAGTTCATGGCTGCACCTGTTGGCGTGGCGATGGAAGCTGCCAGATACACTGCCAACCAAACAGTCCTGAAATCCTCCACCAAAGCCTAACCAGTCAACACTACCACAACAATTGTCATGTTTCCGAGCACGGGCATGGGATAAATCCATGATTTCTCCCTCGAGAATCTTAATGTATTTCATTTTAAGAAGATAGATGGATGGAGGGATGTATAGATATGATAAAAGAGAGAGAGGGAGGGAGGGGGAGAGAGAGAAACAGAGAGTGAGAGAGATAGACAGAGAGAGTGAGAGAGATAGACAGAGAGAGTGAGAGAGAGAGACAGAGAGAGAGAGGGAGAGAGAGAGAGGGAGAGAGGGGGAGGAGTAAGACAAAGAAGGGAGAGACAGAGAGAGAGACAGAGAGAGACAGAGAAAAGAGAGGGAGAGGAAGGTAGAGAGAGAGAGAGAGTGTATGTGAGAAAGAGAGGGGAGAGGGAGTGAGGGAGAGGGGAGAGGGAGGGACAAAAAAAGCAAAAAGAGAGATAGAGAGAAAGAGAGAGAGAGAGAGAGAGAAAGAGAGAGAGAGAGGGAGTATGACGTTAGATACGTTGCAGGATTTGAACCCTGAACCTTGTGGTTTTCACAGTCCGGAGACTTATCCACTGGACCAAAGACTCAGTGCTTGTTTTACAGACATTAAGAATTGGTCCATACAGAATGGATTGAAATTAAATGAAAATAAGACGGAATGTATACACTTTGTTAGCAGACATAGGACTTGTAGTCCGATTGATGATATATGTCTTGATGGTACTGACATTGAATGTTCTACAGGTGCTAGAAACCTTGGGGTCACATTTGATAATAATCTATCTCTGAAGACTCATGTGAACAATGTATGCAGATCTGCCTCATTTGCGTTGCATAAAATCGGTAGCATCCGTCAGTTTCTTACTAAAAAGACCACCCAGAGACTTGTTCAGTCACTGGTCATGTCTCGTATTGACTTTTGCAACAGTCTTCTGTATGGTCTTCCTGATGCACAAATTAACAAATTGCAGAGAGTACAAAATTCAGCTGCTAGACTTATTGCAAAGCGTCGTTCACGTGAGTCCATCACTCCACTGCTTAGGGAGCTTCACATGCTAAGAGTCCGGGAACGAATTGATTTTAAGATCCTCTTGCTGACTTTCCAATGTTTGACAAAAACAGCTCCAGTCTACCTTCAAAGGCTGATATCAGAATACTTACCCTCCCGCAACCTGCGCTCAACCAAGAAATCACTCTTAATAGTTCCTGCCACCAATACCCAGTCTTATGGTTCCCGAACTTTTTATGCAGCATCCCCTCAACTCTGGAACAATTTACCTCAATGTATAAAACAAGCAGATTCAACAGACAAATTCAAATCCATGTTAAAAACCTACTTTTTTGTTAAATAGCCTTTTTCATTTGCATATGCAGCCCCCTCTATTGTCCACTATCTATAATGTATAACTTAATATTTGGCTGTAATTCCTTCTCTTTCTATTTTTCTTAAGCGCTTAGAGACATATTTTGTGATAAGCGCTATACAAATGTTGTTAATTATTATTATTTATTATTATATATCACAACTGCATATTCTGAGATTTTCATGGTCGCAGCTACCATTGGATGGTCGTATAAGCAATTTGAAATTTATGTTTTAGGGGCTAATTTTTTAAGTGCTTATAATACATCCTCAGGGGCATCCAAGTATATCAAAACTTTAATGAATCGCTATCCGGCCATTTTCAAAATTTCCCAAAACTTTGTATTTGATACCTTTAATTAATGTCTTGCCAAAGAACATTAGTGACCTGGCGGGATTCCAACCCTGAACCTTGTGATTCACAGTCCAGAGACTTATCCACTGGACCACAACACCTCTCAAGATCCCTTTACAAGTTTAAAGCCCAAATCCACTCCAAAAATAACTTACTTTCAATTAGAAGCAGAAAAATCAGACTAACCAATAAAAAAAAGTCTGAGCATAATCGGATAACTAATAAGAAAGTTTTCATTTCTTAATGACATTAAAAACTTTGAAAATCACGAGACAAATTGGCAACTCACTCATGAGTCTGTGACGTCATGTCCTCACTATCCACTAATTATTTTCGTTATATTGATGATATAAATTTCCTATTTTCTCCTTAAGAATCTTATTTCTTCACACCATCATCCAAGTTACATTAATATATGTTTTTGTGTGGATGCCATAATATAGAGTAATTTTTTTCCAGTTAAATCATGAAAAATGTGAATTTTGATAAACCATTTATAAAAAAATCAATAATTATAAAAAATACAATATTCAGAAAAAAGTATAAATTCCTCAAAATTTCATAACAGATTTTGTGAAATGTCATGCACGTGTAGCCCCTCTTTGGTGCCACATAAGTAAAAAGGGATTAACCCCTTTAAAGTATGGCATTAATAGCTATACCTACAGTAGTGATCGATAGGAGAGATTTTGTTGTAACTTTGTGGCGAAAGCAAATTGTTTATATTAGCCAATAGTTCTTGTGAGTGAGTCTTGCCAGAGGTTCCACCTTTTAACCTATAGGGCCTATAGGGTGAAACTTCTCGGAACTTCTTGGACTGCTCCATATTAATTGCTATAGGGGTAGAAAGCTTTTGAGATAAAAGTATATTTCATATTTGTATGTTATCTGTTAATTCTAGTTGTTATCACTTTGCATGACTTTGCTTAGGATATATATTCAATGTCTTATATTGCTGTATAAATGACTCACGGATCAACAGCCACAACCAACTATTACTATTCAGACCCCTTTCCTATAATAATGGTATATTCGATATACCAACATCCAAGATTTTCTTGAGGCATCTTCCTTCTTTCACTATTACGAAGATGGAGAGGAAGCACCCTCGAAACATCAGTCTTCAATAACTTCTGTTTTTCCCTGCCCTTTCAGGTAAGATCCAAAAGTCATTTATTTATATTTGATTATTTCAATGTTCAATAGTTTGTTATACATTATATATGCATCATTACTAGATACTAGATGTGACATATTTAAGTGGATTTAAATGAATATCGTTAATCATGTGACACTATGCGTGTCTCACCAATTTTTTAATTGGAACAGTATGACTAAGCTTACTTTTATACATCTGGAGATAGATTTAATATCATATACCATTATTTTTATATAAATCTCACTCAAGATAAGCAGTTATTTGAATGTTACTAACCATTTTCAATGATTGTTCATGGTCAAGCACTTGTTGCTTAGTATTGTCTAGCAGCGCGTGCACCGAGCGATTTGTATAATTATATCCTTTGGAAATCAGCGCCAAAGTTATAAGTAATGGGCTATTCCAAAACAAACAAACAGTATTACCCTGGTCAAGCAGATAGGTTGGGTTCTCTATCTTGCCGCAGTAATATTGTGCGAACTCTAATGTATGTGATTAAAGACTTTCCTGAACAATATTGTGCAAGACCACCTCTTGAATTGCATACATTGTTTATAAATATGATGTACTAACACAGTTATTATAAAATATCAATATGATAGTTATTAATTAGTTATTAATTATTCTCTAAAGATATACCATGATTTATCATTAAGTATCTAAACTATATTTTATTGATTAAATGCTTCTTTCACTATTACGAAGATGGAGAGGAAGCACCCTCGAAACATCAGTCTTCAATAACTTCTGTTTTTCCCTGCCCTTTCAGATCAGGCTAAAGGTCGTCACCTCATGACACCCCTGTCAACCTGAGACCCTCTGTAATTTGTCAAACTTAGTTTTGTTTTAAGCCATAGAGATAATATCTCAACTTATTGCCATGAAGTTAATGTAATGTAACCAGGAGTTACAGATTCTTGTAAATATATTGTAAATATGCTTTGTATTACTCAATAATAAAGGAACTTATACATTTCCTTTATATTGCCTAGTTCTCTAGTTTATTTTGAGATAGACTAGATTCGTGTTGATTGAGTATGAATGAGTGTGTGTGCTGTAATTGTTTGATATAAACTTGTTTCTGTGGAACCGACAGGTGGGGAACTTAACTAAATTCCGCTGCGCTAGATAAATGAATGATCCTCTCCCCACCCAAGAAAGTCCGGTGCTACAATTGGTAGCAGAGCGAGGTTTTATTTTTGTTAGTATTCATCACTGTAATGTCATATCAATTGTTAAGTAAATTGATCATGCCCAAAGCGGTGATACAATCCTTTCGAATATCTTCTTAATAGACGGTGAGGTGAGAGTAGGTTTTTGAACTTATAGGTATTGTGTGGAAATACCTTAGGAAGGATACATACCATATAGTTTGGGTTTGTTCTGTTTGTTTGTTGTTGGATTTAATCCTTTCTCTGCACCATCAGTTGTTGTTTAAATGGCGGGGTATCAGAACCAGAGGGGGTTGACTCAACTCCTCCAAAGACACCCATCACCCGACAGAAATCTAAAGGTAGGTCACAAGAGATGAACACCCGTCAAGGGTTGACTCAACTCCTCCAAAGACACCCATCACCCGACAGAAATCTAAAGGTAGGTCACAAGAGATGAACACCCGTCAAGAATGTTCATCTGAGCCTCCTGGGAGTGATGACTATGATGATAATCCCTTATTTGTCCCAATTAGCTCTGATAATGGAGAAGATACTACGGTAAACGATTCCGACCCCATTATAGGAAATGCCCCTTCTAACTCCAGTACACGAGTAGTGGCATCGGAAGAACCCGAAGTGCGTCAGTTAGATAATAACCCTTCTGAATATATTTCACAAGTTAGTGGGGATGATAACATGGTTAGCAAAACTGAGGAGATTATGTCTGAGGAAACGGGTACAGTAATCAGGAATGAGGAAGATAAATTTGTTGAGGATAATGATCCGATCAGAAAGGAAACCAAAACTCTAAAGTCACCTGAGAAAGATAAAGGTGAGCATGAGGGTATAGCAGTAGATGAAAACGCACCCTCATTGAGTGAACCACAAGTGAGAAGATCAGCCAGGAATAACAAAGGTGTAGGTCCCAATAAACTTGTCTATCACCATCCTGGTGAACCGCTTAATGCAGATTTTAAGCTTGTCCTTGTCCAGCAAATGCGAGCATTTATGGAAAACCTGTTATGAATATAGAAACAAGTAACTATCTTTGTATGAATAGTGCTCTTGTACGTGTGTTTGATTGTGATATGATTTTACACTGTGATGTATTTGATGTACATCCTATGGTTGAGTCATAATAACCGTGGATATAGTAGGGTTATTTTTGTTACATAATTTACATATTTGTACTTAGATAACCTTCATTTTGCAAGTTTTTGTTGTTGTTCAGAACTTAAGTTAATGGAAGTATTAACTTAGTATGTGTAATGAATTGGCATAACTTAACTAAGTTAGTAAGTTAGGCATGAGGGTTCTCAGAGGAGCTGAGTGGTAGGACTCCATCTGCTCGCATCATGGATGAGACCAGGACCACTGTCAGAGTTCTACCATCGGGGAAGCTATTCTTCGCCAGATATCAGCACTCGGAACAAGATGACACCAGTAGAGAGACATTTTCGCATAGTCGCTGAGATAAAATGCATCGTTGGAACTTGGACGTCAGTCATAATATAATGGGTGATACAGAGACGCATATCAATACTTACATTAATGAACTGCAACATTAACTAGTGTCTGATTATACACACTGTGACTGTAAGTCAGGGACAATAGTCCTGAGCCCATGTACATTGATTTGAATGATTCAAGACGGTCCTACTTTCATGGATCAGGACCTTATATGCATCAAACAGCAGAGACTGCGTCATATGCATCAGAGAAGATGACATACAACAGACTCTTCGGCAACAATGGGATTCTGGGAATCTCAATTCTTCAGTTGCAACTGGCTGTCATACTCGGACCCTAGCTTCAAAGCAAAATAGTATTTAATTGTTTTGCTCATGTCCTTTGTATAAAGGACCCGTGGAGATATATTGTTTCATACTTTGGTTGAATGTTCTGTGGAGCATATGAAAATCATTATGTGCATATATTGTCTATGATCGTTTTTATTTTTCCTCGTGGCGGGATATTTTTTTAAGGGGGGAAGAGTTGTAGCCCCTCTTTGGTGCCACATAAGTAAAAAGGGATTAACCCCTTTAAAGTATGGCATTAATAGCTATACCTACAGTAGTGATCGATAGGAGAGATTTTGTTGTAACTTTGTGGCGAAAGCAAATTGTTTATATTAGCCAATAGTTCTTGTGAGTGAGTCTTGCCAGAGGTTCCACCTTTTAACCTATAGGGCCTATAGGGTGAAACTTCTCGGAACTTCTTGGACTGCTCCATATTAATTGCTATAGGGGTAGAAAGCTTTTGAGATAAAAGTATATTTCATATTTGTATGTTATCTGTTAATTCTAGTTGTTATCACTTTGCATGACTTTGCTTAGGATATATATTCAATGTCTTATATTGCTGTATAAATGACTCACGGATCAACAGCCACAACCAACTATTACTATTCAGACCCCTTTCCTATAATAATGGTATATTCGATATACCAACATCCAAGATTTTCTTGAGGCATCTTCCTTCTTTCACTATTACGAAGATGGAGAGGAAGCACCCTCGAAACATCAGTCTTCAATAACTTCTGTTTTTCCCTGCCCTTTCAGGTAAGATCCAAAAGTCATTTATTTATATTTGATTATTTCAATGTTCAATAGTTTGTTATACATTATATATGCATCATTACTAGATACTAGATGTGACATATTTAAGTGGATTTAAATGAATATCGTTAATCATGTGACACTATGCGTGTCTCACCAATTTTTTAATTGGAACAGTATGACTAAGCTTACTTTTATACATCTGGAGATAGATTTAATATCATATACCATTATTTTTATATAAATCTCACTCAAGATAAGCAGTTATTTGAATGTTACTACCGGTAACCATTTTCAATGATTGTTCATGGTCAAGCACTTGTTGCTTAGTATTGTCTAGCAGCGCGTGCACCGAGCGATTTGTATAATTATATCCTTTGGAAATCAGCGCCAAAGTTATAAGTAATGGGCTATTCCAAAACAAACAAACAGTATTACCCTGGTCAAGCAGATAGGTTGGGTTCTCTATCTTGCCGCAGTAATATTGTGCGAACTCTAATGTATGTGATTAAAGACTTTCCTGAACAATATTGTGCAAGACCACCTCTTGAATTGCATACATTGTTTATAAATATGATGTACTAACACAGTTATTATAAAATATCAATATGATAGTTATTAATTAGTTATTAATTATTCTCTAAAGATATACCATGATTTATCATTAAGTATCTAAACTATATTTTATTGATTAAATGCTTCTTTCACTATTACGAAGATGGAGAGGAAGCACCCTCGAAACATCAGTCTTCAATAACTTCTGTTTTTCCCTGCCCTTTCAGATCAGGCTAAAGGTCGTCACCTCATGACACCCCTGTCAACCTGAGACCCTCTGTAATTTGTCAAACTTAGTTTTGTTTTAAGCCATAGAGATAATATCTCAACTTATTGCCATGAAGTTAATGTAATGTAACCAGGAGTTACAGATTCTTGTAAATATATTGTAAATATGCTTTGTATTACTCAATAATAAAGGAACTTATACATTTCCTTTATATTGCCTAGTTCTCTAGTTTATTTTGAGATAGACTAGATTCGTGTTGATTGAGTATGAATGAGTGTGTGTGCTGTAATTGTTTGATATAAACTTGTTTCTGTGGAACCGACAGGTGGGGAACTTAACTAAATTCCGCTGCGCTAGATAAATGAATGATCCTCTCCCCACCCAAGAAAGTCCGGTGCTACACACGCAATATGATACAAATCATATAACCTGTCAAAGGCATTGGGAAATCAAGTTTTGGGGAATAAAAAGGGAAATTAATGGGATTAAACCATTTAGAGCAATTGATAAAAAGTGAGGACATGACGTCACAAATTGATAACCATCTTGGCAATTTGTGTTGTGATTTTCATTGTTCCATAGTTTTACATATTTTTTCAAAAATTCATAATTTATAAAATTCTTATTAGTTATCCGATTTTGCTCAAACTTTTTTTGATAGGTTTTTCTGATTTTTCTGCTTTTATTGAAAGTAAGTTATTTTTTTCGAGTGGACTTGTCCTTTAAAGAGTGAAGGGAGACTGTAGTCAATAAGTCCTGTGAACTTCCTAACTCGTCATGGCCTACAATATGAAGAGTTTAATTCCAAAAGGAGCTAAATCCACTTTTGATGAAAATCAAGTTATTGATTTTGGAATATTGTTTACTTCAGTACCCATCTTTCAAACAAAGTGTTTACCTAAATTTAGGAAGCAATTATGAAAAAATGCACCTTCTAATATCACTTTTCCTGAGACGCCTGTACTAAATCTGGTAAACAAATGCGTTTCTTTCTCAAGTAACAAAAATGGATTTAGCTCCTTTTGGAATTAAACTCTTCATATACCAACAAGAATTGTTCACCTCAAACAACTTTTTTTTAAAGGGGACTGAGGGCAGAGACTACTAGTCCAACTTCATCTTATCATCAATCACAGTGAGCTAAGGAATGTGTTAAATAAACAGTCCAATCATGCATTCATTCATACAGCTAAGACCTGTCATTAGTCAAACTCCAGCCAGCCAGGCTGCTTGGCTAGTGAGCTAGCTAACTGACTGCATGTATACAACAAGCACACCTCAGCTTGCGCTTGGTCCTTCAGATGAAAGCTAAAACTGCACAAATTTGAACTGAAATCATGAACAGTAGCTGTGTAGGATAAATGATTATTACTTCCTAGTCTGCATGTAAAAAGAACTTTTGAAATACCTAAAACAGAGATTACAAACCTGGGAACAGCTAGGTTTAAGTGCATTATGGCTGAAGACTGGTCTGGCCACCGTTTCAACTCAAACCTCAGAACACCTCAGCTAAACCCTCATTTAGATGAGAAATAGAATACAATGTTGTGTACAAAGAGCCATACATGATACAGCCTCCAAAAAAAAGGTCATTACATTTCCTTGTCTGAATGTAGTACAGCAGCCAAGCATCATCCAATAAAACAGAGATTTGATCACTGTTTTGGATAATTTAAAAAAAAATAAACAATCAGCTCGAGTCCATCTCCTTTGCAAGAGTCATATCACAGGAAAATATGATACTGGAATTAAACTGGATGGGTGTAGCATATGCTGATATTATGACCAGCAAGCATTAATGGACATCCCCCGAACTATGTGTTTTAATCAGCTCTTCCTTTAATTCATGAGTTAATATTTTCCTGTGTTTGTTAATACTTTCCTGGGTGTATATTATACAATGATTAATTTACAATTTATTCTCTGATTGTTTCTGTACACAAATTTGGTATGATTTCCTCTTGTGAAATTGCTGTCAAGCTACAGGCTGTTGATAACCATGTACATGTATACAACCACACCTCATCTCAAGCACATACAGCACTGGAGTCTCAACTGATCAAGGCCTGTACTGGCTGCCTGGCTGGCTGGCCTGCTGGCTTGGATAGCCTCTCACTTCACACCCCCACCATCACGATGCAGCAGCCAAGGCCAGCTAAGCCATCCAAAATCTATCAAAATTTCTGTTATACACAGGTGGAGGAGGAGTAGAATGGCACTAGAATGTGACAAACACCCTTCCTACCCTCAGCTCAGAGCAGTGCCCTTTGGTAAGGCATTCCTAATTACCAGGTCCTTCAGAGAGGACCTAAAGTCATCGGTCCTTTGGTTTCTTACTAACAAGCATTTATGCTTCCTTGGCAGTCAGGTAAAAATAACCACCACTATTACTACTACTATACTACTAGGACTGCTAATGGAATATACATTTCTGAGATGGTAGAAAATGAAAAATTAGCAACGATCAGGTCTTCAATTTTACAAAATTATCTCTTCCTAATTGATGACTTGCAACTTTTAATCACAACAACTAAAACCTAATATTTGTTTGTTGCACGTACACTGCTGAGGTTCACAAAGCTATAGGGTCACTTGAACAGTGACATATAGCCAACATCTTTCTCTCACAACACAGTACGTACACAGGTTAGACTTGTGAGACATCTCCTGAAGATGACAGATTGGCAACGATTATAGATGATAATCAAGATTGATTCTTTTAGGCCTCTTTTCATCAGCTTGAGATTGCCAAATAGCCTGCTATTTCTGATTTGGGTAATAATCCCGAAATAATCTAGAAGTTACAAATCGAAACTTGAAACTTGAGCTCGAGAAATTAGCTCGAGATTGATATTTTGCTCAGCGTTTGCACATATAGTACGAGTCTTCGGGCTGGTGAAGATGCACCGGACAAATAGCAGGATATTTTGCCAAATAGTGGGATATTTTGCAAACTAGCCCAAGATATCAATCTTGGTATGATTATCTTGACCAAATATCCCACTAATTACAACTTCAAGCTGATGAAGACGCCAATTAACTGGATACTTTGCGATCTGGATAGTTCAAATATCGAGATATTTGGCAATCTCGAGCTGATGGGGACAGGCCTATAGAGTCAATCATCTTGCTTGAGAACTTGCCACCATTGGCGCTTACATGTCCAATAGCTACTAAATAAAAAGGGTAGTCCTACCTTCATAACGTCTTGCTTTGAAGGGGAGCTAACGGAACCACAGAATCACAAGGATGAAAGTCTGAATGAGAGTACATAAATGATTAAAAAACAAAGTTATGAATCGTGTAAAAGCTGAGACAATGGTAATTTTTTAATTGGTGAAGACTGAGTTGGGTAATGTCACTGTGATTAGTATAGTTGAAAACTCTCCTGCTCTTGCTCCTATTGAACTTGAATTGAATTGAATTGAATATGATTATTTTATTCCACACTACTTTCCATTTACACATAATTTTTTTTAAATATTTTATAGTGATGACTTTTGTTTTTATTATATATACCGGGGTACTTTTTTTTTTTTGGGGGGGGGGGTAGGTAGTTTACCTCAATGTGTGTGAAAAGGGCTTTAGAGAGGAGCATTTAATGGTCAAAGTGGGCTAAATAGGAGGTCAATGACCCCAGGTTGGAATCATATTTCTACAAAATAATCACCATCATGACACAGCCCTTAACTAAAGTTTACTGGTCAACAAAACTGTTACAAATTATAATCAACACACAATTACAAACAACGCTGAACTTATGTGGGAAAGAACTACCTGTATATATCACATCTCGAATGTGTCCTAAACTTAAATCTGATTAGCAAGGCTTGAACCCCTTGATACAATAACAGGATGAATGTGTAGAGACAATCTTCAGCAAAGCTTACCTATACTATAGAAACTCAGGATCAGCATAACAAAAGAACCCCTCTCTACTCTTTATTGTTATCCCCAATTACGCCCAATTCTCTGCTCGACCACGCAAGCCTGAGTGAAGGCCCAAAAAGCATCACTTGGTGCGCTTCCAGGCCTTGTAAACTTATTCTGGGCACAAACAATTTGTTTTTGCTTTGAGAATGTCCGATAGTGAGATGTAATCGGTGATGTAACAGTTTTGAACAGATACAACTAAGGTAAACATGTGTGGAAATAGTCATTGCACAACATAAAATGTCATGAGGTTATTATGTATATTGTTGTTTTATCATTTTGAATTTGTTTGATATTCAATATGCAATTTTGTATCATGAGTTTATTTATTAAAGAAACAGAAAAGTGCACTTTTAATGCATCATGATTTCACCAGAATTCATGTAGAGACAGATTGGAAGCGGCATAGCTGCAAATCATGAGCACTTACCTCCAAATATATAAATTTACATGTACATATTGTTTATTCATATACAAATGAAAGGTTCTATCAGAACATGCATATTCCATTTCAACATACAATTTACCAGACATTTTCTGAAGTAAGAAAGGGAAATAGGGATAAGTACATGATTAAAAATATTTACGAGGTATAGAAGAGAAGAATGAAAATACCGCTATTTACATGACATTAGTATTCTCAAGTTCAATACAATTGACTACACACAGGTCTTGAATTAGGCTAGCCGGCTCGGAGAGAGAGGGGCTGAATAAGGAGAGGAGGAGCAATTGTACCTGTCAATCAAAATGGCGCAACAATAGGCGCTAAAGTGACATACTAATGGAGGAATGCGAGAAAGCTGGTTGTTAAGTGTCCTGGGCAGTTTGCGCCCGTTGTACTTTGTGGAGTGGTTAACAATAGGCGTGTAAGTAGACTGGTAGTCTAGTACAGGAGAATGGGGGAGAGAGAGGGGAAGAGAGAGAGAGAGGGGGGAAGAGAGAGAGAGAGAGAGAGGGAGGGAGGGAGGGAGAGAGAGAGAGAGAGAGAGAGAGAGAGAGAGAGAGAGAGATGGGGAAGGGGGAGAGGGGGATGGGGAGAGAGGCAGACAGACAGTTAGGAAGATGGAGACAGAGAGACAAAATAAAGAGAGGTAGGGAATATAGTCATAGAGGGAAGAGAGAGAGAGAGGGGGGCAGAAAGAGAAAGAGAGAGAGGGGCAGCTAGAGAAAGAGAGAAAGAGAGAAGAGAGAGAGAGAGGGGCAGAAGGAGAAAGAGAGAGAGAGAGAGAGAGAGAGAGAGAGAGAGAGGGGACAGCTAGAGAAAAGGAGAGGGAGAGA